GGGAAAGTGTTGTACAGCGGATCTCTAGAACTTACTCATCTTGCATACAAATGGCCAACAGGTACATGAAAAGGTGCTCAGTGTCATTAATCATCAGGGAAATGCAAATCAAAACCACAATTGGATATCACCTCACACCTGTTAAGATGGGTATTATAAAAAGAACAAAGGACAGGTGTTGGCAGGATCTGGATAAATTTGAACCTCTGTATACTATTGGTGGGAATGCAAAATATATAGTGCAGCTGCTATGGAAAACATTATGGAGGCTCTTCAAAAAATTAACAATAGAGCTATAGCATTTGATCCAGCAGCCTCACATCTGCATATTTATCCTGTGCCTGTTTCTTGGCCTTCTTCTTTTCAGAAGTTCCCTGCTGGGAAGAGTGTTAAGGATCCATGTGAATGGGGCAGGCTCAGGTGGCAGGCGGTACTGAGCGCCCCTGGACAATCTCTTTGTTTCTGAGCCAGGGGCCCATCCAGCCATCTATGCCTACGGGATCAGAAACATGTGGTGCTGTGCCGTGGACCGAGGGGACCCCATCGTGAGCCAGGGCTGAGGCCGGATGTTCTGTGGGGATGTGGGACAGAACAGGTTTGAAGAAGTTGACATCATTGTTAAAGGCGGGAACTACGGCTGGAAGGCAAAGGAAGGGTTTGAATGTTACGACAAAAAACTTTGTCACAACGCCTCTCTGGGTAAGTGAGAAGCTCTCTGATTTCTTGAGTGAGTTTAATGAGTTGCAGGTGGAGGTGGAGGAATAAAACCTGGCAGTGTCTTGCCCTGCAGGTCGTTACAATGCCTTTGTTTGTGTCCTGTGGGCTCTGTGCTTCTTAGAGTGGTCCTGCAGCTACTGGCACCTGAACCGCCTTGGTGCTTGTTAACCTAATTAATTTGAATACTGGGCGGATTGTGGGGGGTGGGGTGGGATTGACCTAGGAATCTATACTTTAAATAAGTTACTCATGTGATTTTCAGGCATACAATTTTGAACCACGGGCAGAGGAAAATAGGTGGCTATATGTTTTTATTTATTTACCATTTGGGAGGGCCCACTGAAATGATATTCTGCGTACAATCAAGTAATATTATAATGCCTAAGCATCAATAATCAAGGTGTGCTTTAGAAACTTCATTTGGCTTAAAATTCCAATTTTCTGACTTTATCACCATTGCTTAGTCTCTTTTGTCCCCTTGTTACCGAACTCAGGTTTGGCTGCTTGTCGCTCAAGATTCCAATACTGAGAGACAAGTGTTGGGTAAAAGGAAAGATAGTTTTATTGAGGAAGCTGGCAATCCTGGGGAGAAGGTGGACTCATTTCCCAAAGAACCAATTTCCCCTTGCCACTCAGGTGGAAGAGTTTTAAAGGGCGGGGGGCGGGGGGCGTTCAAGGGTGTATAGGCGGAGGAAGACGGCTACATGCGGGACAGCACAGTCATCTCTCAAATACAGTTAATCTTTAGTTCCGGGGTTGGTTTGTTTCCATTTTCCTGAGGCCAGTTCTTGGAACCGTGGAAGATGGAGCAGCTGATGTCGTGGCTACAGTCTGGCCATCATGTAGTTAACTTCTTCTACCTGGTGAGGGTTTCAGTATCTGTAAAACAGCTCAAAGGATACGGCTCAGTATATTATCTATCACCTTTGAGGAGGAAATAAATATCCTTGACTTTGTTTAATGACTAAACTATTATTATTTTGTCCTGTTTGACTATTTTCCTTGCTTCTGCATTTTTTTCATTTCTTTGATTAAATTGATTCTTTGGCTAACGTTTTTCTACAGACAAAAGGCAAGTGGTGGGCTCGGGGTGGTCTGTCCTGGGAAGGCCTTGGAGGGTCCTGTTCTTTACACTCTTAAGTTACAAAGCAGACATCCAGATCCTTGCAATATTCCAAATCCTTAAACCTGAGGGTCTGCCATGTCAACCTAGGGGGAAAATTTAGGTGTGTGGATTTCCAGGTCACTGCCCCACATATGGGAGAATTTTAGGCTTCCTCTCTGCTTTCAGAGACCAGTCAAATGGGAAGCTCAAGAATATCATGGCTGGTCTGTTGAGAAAAATAAACATGATTTGCTTGGCTGCCTGTCCTCCCAAAGACCAAGAGACAAAATGTTCTCCACTTAGTCAAGCAACTGCATTAAAAAGCTCCCTTCTTCCTCCTCGAAGCTCCCAGTTTTTAGCCGTGACACTCACTCTTTTTCCTTGTTTCTGGACAGATGATATTCTGCCAATCTATGCTTATGGCCACACAGTGGGGAAATCTGTCACTGGAGGTTACGTCTACCGTGGATGTGAATCCCCAAATCTCAACGGCCTCTACATCTTCGGGGACTTCATGAGTGGGTAAGGAAGGATTGATGTCCTCTCTCTTTTATTTTTTTAACTTTTTTATTGACGTATAAGTTACATGTGACTACATGCAGTGTCTTAAGAGCATTGTTGGATAGTTTTACAAATGTATACACTCATATTAAGACCAATCATAGCAAGATGCAGAACATTTCCATCACTCTAGAAGACTCCTTCTTGACTATTGCCTGTGAGTACCACCCCTTTCTCTCTCTCTCTCTCTCTCTCTCTCACACACACACACACACACACACACACACACACACACACGCACACACTAAACCAGAGATAACCACTTTCATCACAGATTAATTTTGCTTCTGGAACTTCATATAAATGGAATATATAGTATGTGCTCTTTTTTTGGGTATGCTTCCTTCATTCAGTTATGTCTGTGAAATTCATCAGTGTTGTTGCGTGTATCAGTAGTTTGTCTCTTTCATTGCTTTGTAATATTCAATTGTATGAGTATGCCACAGTTTATTCATCTATTTTCCTATTGATGGATGCTTTGCCTGTTCCCAGTTTGGGGATATTGTGAATAAAACTGCTACAAAGCTTCGTAGTTTTCACTGCAAAGGACTTGCACATCTAAGTATTTCATAGTGTTTGATGCTATGTTAAATTTTGTTAAATATATTTATAGCATGTATCCAGCAACCTTGCTGAACTTCTTATTAAAGTGACATTTTTGTTGATTCTATTAGATTTTCTATATAGAAGATCATTTTGCTGTCACTATAGATACTTTTTTCTTTTTCTGAATTGGAAGCCTTTTATTATTATTTTATTGACTTGTTGCTTCACTTCAAGCCTTCAGTTCAATGTTGGATAGAAGTGGGGGAAAGCATTCAATTTTTTACCAGTGAGGATGATGTCAGCTGTAGGTGTTTTGTATATGTCCTTTATCAGATTTAGGACATTTCCTTCAATTCCTAGTTTGCTGAGCATTTGTATTAGGTATGGATGTTGCATTTTGTCATATGCATCTTTGCATGTGGTGAGAGAATCATGTGGCTTTTTCATTTTTAGTTTGTTAATATGGTGAATTTCATTGATTGATTCTTTTGGTCATTGAAGCAATCTTGCATTCCTGGGATAAACACCACTTGGTCAAGTTGTATTTGATTAACATTTTGTTTTTGTTTTAATATATTGTTGAATTCAGTTTGCTAATATGTTGTTTGGAGTTTTTGCATCTATGTTCATGAAGAAATAGTGAGCTGTAGTTTTCCTTTCTTGTATTATCTTTGTCAGAATTTGTTATCAGGTTAATGTGAACTTTATAAAATGAGTTGAAGAGTATTTCCTCTTCTTTAATTATCTGGACTAGTCTGTGTAAAATATGTGTTTCTTCCTTCTAAGTGAAGCCATCTAGATCTGACGTTTAATGGTAGATAACACGTAGTTGGGTCCTGTTTTTTGATCCACTCTGACAATCTCTGTCTTTTAATTGGTACATTTAGACCATTAACATTCAAAGAGATTATTGATATAGCTGCATTAATATCTGCCATATTCATTACTGCTTTCTATTATATTTGGTGACCTTGTTCTTTGTTCCTATTTTTTCTTCTACTCTTTTTTTCTGCCTTTTGCAGATTTAATTGAACACTTTATCTGATTCCTCTTTTTCTCCTTTCTTAGCATATCAGTTATACTGTTTTTTGTAATCTTTTTAGTAGTTGCTTAGCATTTGCAATATACATTTACAACTAAGCTAAGTCCACTTTCAGATAACATCGCACCACTTCAAGGGTAGTCTGTGTCTTACAATAATAAAATAATCCCACTTCCTCCCTCTTGTCCGTTGTATTACTATTGTCATTTATTTTGCTTATATGTAAGCATACATAAGTATATATAATAATTATTAATATATAATATTATAGCAGTGATATATTAAATAATAATTATTAATATAATAATATATTTTATAATTTAATAATACTATTATTTTACTATATAAATAAGCATACATAATCAAATACATAGTTGCTATCAGTATGTTGAACACACTTCTATCTGTTAGACCAATGAAGAATAAGATAAATACAAGTTTTGATTTTTACCTTCACTTATTCCTTCTTTGATGCTCTTCCTTTCTTGATATAGATTTGAGTTTCTGACCTATATCATTTTTCTTCTCTCTAAAGAACTTCTTTTAACATTTCTTACAAGGTAGAGATACTGGCAACAAATTACCTCAATTTTTGTTTGCCTGAGAAAGTATTGCTCCTTCATTTCTGAAGTATAATTTCACAGGTACAGGATTCTAGGCTGGCAGCTTTTTTCTCTCAACCCTTTAAATATTTCACTCCACACTGTTCTTGCTTGCATGGTTTCTGAGGAGAAGTTTGATGTAAGTTTTATCGTTGCTCCTCTATAGGTAGAGTTCTTTCCCCTCTCTGGCTTCTTTTGAGATTTTTTTCTTTATTTTTGATTATCTGTAGTTTGAATATGATATACCTATGAATAGTTTTTAAAGCATTTATTCTGCTTGGTGTTCTCTGAACTTCCCAGATTTGTTGTTTGGCATCGAACATTAATTTGGGGAAATTCTATATAATTATTGTTTAAAACGTTTCTGTTCCTTTCTCTCTTCTCCTTTTGATATGCCTGTTATGCTTATGTTATACCTTTTGTAGTTGTCTCACTTTTCTTGGACATTTTGCTCTTTTTTTTCCCAGTCTTTTTTCTCTTTGCTTTTCCATTTGGAGGTTTCTATTGAGATATTCTCAAACTCAGATTCTTTCTTCAGCCATGTCCAGTCTACTAATAAGCCCGTCAAAGGCATTTTTCATTTAAGTTATAGTGTTTTTGATCTCTAGCATTTCTTTTTTGGTTCTTCTTTAGAGTTTCCTTATCTCTGCTTATATTGCCCATCTGTTCTTGCATGCTGTCTACTTTCCATTAGAACCCTTAGCATATAAATCATAATTGTTTTAAATTCCTAGTCTGATAATTCCAACATCCCTGCCATGTCTGAGTCTGGTTGTGATGCTTGATTTGTCTCTTCAAACTGTGTGTTTTGCCTTTCAGTATGCCTTGTAATTTTTTCCTAATTGCTTGTTATGATGTACTGGGTAAAAGGAACCGCTGTAAATAGGTCTTTAGCAAAGCGGTGGTGAGGTGTGGGGGAAGGGAAGTGTCCTAGTCTTATGACTAGGTCTCAGTTTTTTAGTGAGCCTGTGCCTCCGGACTGTGAACTTCCTCTGTGTTTCTCAGTTTCTCTCCCCCTTCCATACACATTTAGGTGGGACAGGATGGCTACAGTGGGCTGGAGTTAGGTACTTACCTCCCCCAGGTCTGTGAGGCTCTGTTAAAATCCTGGCAGGTTAGTCTCTGGTTAGTTTCTCCTGAGGAGAGACATTTGTTAAGAAAAACAGAAAGCTCTGGTGATGGTTCCTTTTTCCCTCCCCACTGCTGGAAGCACAAGGAGATTTTGCTCTGATATTTACTGTGGGAAACTGATCCAGGTCCTGGAGGTAAAAGACACAAAAGTGTGGGGACCCTCGATGACTGGGCATGCCTGCAGCTTCTAACTCTCAGACTTGCCCACACGGAGCTCCTAGCAATTTGTCAATCATAGGTTATGTTTTCCAACCCCATAACTGATTCCTGTGAAGGTTTCTGCTTATGGTTTTCTGTAAGTTGTAATTCTCTGTATCTGCCTGTTTGTCCCTCCAATTTTGGGGGCAGTGGTTTGCCCTGTGACCTCACTTCTCTTAGGGACCTAAGAATAGTTGTTGATTTTTCAGTTTTTTTCAGTCTTTTGCTTATTGTTAGGATGGTGTGCTGACTTCCAAACTTCTTACATGCTGGACCAGAAACTAAAAGTCCTCTGAAGTTTTCCTCGTGGAGATTTTTTTTTTTTTTTTTTGTGGTACACGGGCCTCTCACTGTTGTGGCCTCTCCCGTTGCGGAGCACAGGCTCCGGACGCGCAGGCTCAGCGGCCATGGCTCACGGGCCTAGCTGCTCCGCGGCATGGGGGATCTTCCTGGACCGGGGCACGAACCCGTATCCCCTAGCATCGGCAGGCGGACTCTTAACCACTGCGCCACCAGGGAAGCCCCCTCGTGGAGACATTTAACTACAATTTCAATTTCTTTAATAGATATAGGCTATTCAGTTTATTTCTTTCTTTCTGAGTGAGGCTTGGTAGTCTGCTTTTCAAGGAATTTGTCCAGTTTATGTAATTTGTCAAATTTATTGACATAAATATTCTCTTATTATCCTTTTAATAACTGTGTCACTTATCCCAAATATTGGTAATTTGTGTTTCTCTCTCTCTTTCTCTTTCCTGATCAGTCTGGCTAGAGTTTTATCAAACTTATTGATCTTTTAAAAAACCAGCTTTTGGGTTCATTGAATTTTTTCCTATTATTTTCCTGTTTTCTATTTCATTGATTTATACTCTTTTCTTCCTTCCTCTTGCTTTGAGTTTAATTTGCTATTCTAATAAAATTTTCTCAAGATGGAAGCAGAGCTCATTGATTTGGGACCTGTCATCTTTTCTAATGTATATGTTTAGTGCTATAAATTTCCCCTCAAGTACTGCTTTAACAGCATCCCATAAATTTTGATATATGTTTTCATTTTCATTCAGTTAAAAGAATATTTTCTAATTCCCCTTTTGATTCTTTGTCCCACAGTTTATTGTGAAGTGTGTTGTTTAGTTTCCAAATTATCTGAAGGTTTCCAAAAATCTTTCTGCTATTGATTTCTAATTTAGTTTGATTGTGGTCACAAAACATACTGCATATGATTTGGGAGATTATCCTGTATTATCTGGATGGGTCCTAAACGTAATCACAAGCATCTTTAGAAGAAGGAGGTAGAGGGAAATTTGAAGACAGAAGAGGTAGAAAGCAATGTGACAATGGAAACAATGAGAGAAAAGGCAATGTGACATGGGACCATGAACCAAGAAATAAGGACAGCATCCAGAAGCTGGAAAAGGCAGGGAAACAGATTCTCCTCTAGAGCCTCTGGTGGGAGCACAGTCCTGCCAACACCTTGATTTTGGCCCAGAGAAACCCATTTCAGAATTTTGGCCTCCAAGATTGTAAGAGAATAAATGTGTGTCGTTTTAAGCCACCAGACTGTGGTAATGTGTTACAGTGGCAGTAAAAATGAATACAGTTACCATTTCTAATACTCTTCATTCCTTTGTGGAGATTCATATTTCTTTCTGAGATTGTTTTTATTCTGCTTGAATAGCTTCCTTTAACATTTTTGGAAAAATGGGTCTAGTGGTCATGAATTCTTTCCACTTTTGCAGTCTTTATTTTCCCTTCATTTTTTGAGAGATATTTCTGCTAGGTATAGAAGTGTATGTTGACATATTCTTTCTTTAAGTCTTTAAAAATGTCCACTGTCTTCTACTTTGCATCATTTCCAATGAGAAATCTGCTGTCATCCTTATATATATTCCTCCATATTTATGTGTCATTTTTTTCCTCTAGCTGCTTTTAAGATTTTCTCTTTATCACTGGTTTTCTAAAATTGCATTAAGACATATCTTGGTGTAGTTATCTTCATATTTCTTGTGCTTGGATTTGGTTGCACTTATTGGATCTGTGAATTTATAGCTTTCATCAAATGGAAAATTTTATTTGTATTTTTCAAATTTTACCTCCGTTTCCTCACACCCTTTCTCTCCTCTCATTTGGATACATTTACACTGGGGCATTTAAAGTTTTCCTACAGATCACTGATGATCTATTCGTGTTTAAATTTTTGGGATAAATTCAGTTTTGGAGAGTTTCTATTTCTATGTCTTCGGTTCATGTATCTTTTCTTCTGTAATGTCTAGTTTGCCATTCATCCTATCCAGTGAGGGTTTAAAAAAAAAATCTCAGATGTATTTTTTGTCTCTAGAAACTTGACTTTTAAAAAATATCTCCTATGTCTCTACTTAATGTTTTGAACATACAGAATATAGTAATAATCACCTTTTCAATGTTCTTGTCTGCTGATTTTAACACCTGTGTCAATTCTGTGTCAGGTTTTGTTGATTTTTCTCTTTATTATGGGTCATATTTTCCTCATTCTTTACTTGCCTAATGATTTTTGATTGGATTGTTAATTTAACTTGTGGGTGCTGAATATTTTTGTATTCCTATAAATATTCTCGAGCTTTATTCTGGGACACATTTCAGTTACTTGGAAATAGTTTGATCCTTTCAAGTCTTGCTGTTAATATTTGTTATGCAGGACCAACATAGAGCTTATTCTAGAACTATCTATTCTTCAATACTGAGGCAAGACTTTCCCAAGAACTCTACCCAGTGCCCTGTGAATTGCATTCCCAATATTTCTGACCCTGAGTAAGTGCCAGGTACTTTTAGTTCTAATTATTTTCCTTGATTTAGCTATTTTCCTCACATGTGTCTGCTGTTAAGTATACTGATAGATTCTTGAGGATGGCCCTTTGCAGATCTCTGGAGTCCATTCTCTGTGCAGCTATCTCTTCTCCAATACTTGTCCTACAGACTCTTCCTGCATTGGTCTTCTTGGACTCTCATCTCTCTTTTCAACTCAAGGCCTGTGCTAGGCTCTGCCTATGTTTTTCTTCCTTATGCTAGAAACTTTTTCAAGGTAGTAAGCTGGGACAGTTGTAGGGTTCACTTTGTTTATTTCTCTCTTAGAGAACACAGTCCTCCACTGTCTGATCTCTAGTATCTTTTAAACCATTGTTATTCTGTTTTGTCTAGGTTTTTGACTATTTAAGGTGGAATGGTAATTCTAGTCCCTGTTACCCCATGTTAGTTACAAAGGATGTTAATATTTTCATGCTGCAATTCTTCATTACAGAGATAAGGTAGAGTTAGTAATTGGGTCAGTTCCTTTGTCATCGCTTGTTAGATCTTTGGGATTTAATTGTTCTTTATGGTTTTCCCATAACCCCCATCCACAGTGATTCTTAATTAAAGCACATGCATTAGAATTACCTGTGGTTGGGCATCTCTGTTTCTATAAAGCTCTTCAGGTGACACCCCTGGTTACCCAACTTCCTTTCTTTTTTCTTCTAAAAACCTGCTTTTAGTTCAGCTAGATGACAGAGGAATCATCAGATGAGACATCTATCTGCTACTATACAGACATAATAATAATAATAGCTACTGGTTTTGAGCCCTCACTATATGCCAGACACTTAGTGAGATATTTATATATATTATCTTATTTAACATTCACAATGCTTGCCTATGGTAAATTCTCTTACCATCCCCCATTTTATAGATTGATAGATTTTATAGAGGCTTAGAGGTGTTGAGCAACTAACCAGTTATTAAAAATTAGATTAGTCCTTTGTAGTGGTGCAACCTTCACAGGGCACCAAGCTCCTCTTATAATAGCAAGTGAACTTCCCCGTCTAGGGCAAGTGGGTGACCGAAATATCTCTACAGCAGCTTTTTTGATTCCTGAGGGAGGCTAGTTATTGGACTCCTATGGGAGACTCACTCCTGGTAGTCCAGGATTCCTTGATTCTAGGAGGAAAAAATATCCTGCAGGGTGGAAATATGGATTCCTAAAATATAAGGTTTTGCTTTTCATCTAGTCGACTTATGGCTTTGCAGGAAGATAGAAAAACCAAGAAATGGAAGAAACAGGACATTTGCCTGGGCAATACTGAGTTCTGTGCCTTCCCAGGGTTGATGAGCACATACAGCAAATTTATCATCTCCTTTGCTGAAGATGAAGCAGGTAACAAACGTACAAGGTTATTCTATTTTTGCTTACTGGAACTTAGATAATCACAGGCATTGTGAACTGAACATTTATTATCATAATAATCATTATTATTACTATTGTTATTATTACTCTTATTATTGTTATTGAAAATTCAACTACCACTTTTTCTATTTTCACTGTCATTTAGTCACCTTATTTTTTGTTTTTTTTGCTGTACGCGGGCCTCTCACTCTTGTGGCCTCTCCCGTTGCGGAGCACAGGCTCCGGATGCGCAGGCTCAGCAGCCATGGCTCACGGGCCTAGCTGCTCCGCGGCATGTGGGATCTTCCCGGACAGGGGCATGAACCCGTGTCCCCTGCATCTGCAGGCGGACTCCCAACCACTGCGCCACCAGGGAAGTCCTAGTCACCTTTTATAATGTATTGGATACTGTTCTAAGCACTTTACATTTTAAAATCTTATTTAGTAATCACAACACCCCCATGATGTAATTATTATGTTTATTTCACCAATGAGGAAACAGATTGACTATGCCAACTTACCCCTTCTTTGTTGAACTGCACAGCTCACTGTGCAGGGCAGACCAAGGTCTACACTGTAGTCTTTTCAATCCTTTGACTGTGAAGGAGGTGCATGTACTCCTTCCTTCCTGATTTTATTCTAATCTGCAATTATACAAATGTGGACAGGGCCAACAGTGGGGCAGGCAGTGGGTGTTTATCCCGTTGGTGTTACCTGAGAGAAGGTACCTCTGATGATCCACCGGCTGGGCTGGGCTCTTCCTGACGCTGCCAACAGTTTGTTAGGCAACTTCTGTGAATGAACAAGGGAGAATTTCTTTCTTGAGAGATCTGAGAAAAGGGTAGACAGCTAGGTAGGAGGCTACTCACTAGAGAGATTAGGCATATGTTAAGGGCATCAGCAAAGCAAGGCATGCGTGTACATAAGAGCAGGGGGAGGGAGGGGGAGAGAGAGAGGGACTCAGCTTTAATAAATATCCTCAAAGTTTGAAATCAGAAAATGAGGTTTTAATTTCAGCTTTACGTAAGTTGTGTGTCAATTTGAAAGTTAAATTTTTATTTTGTTTATGTAAGTGGCAACAAGGCCTGTGATCTTTCTGGTATTTGGCACTGCACCTAGCCATGCTTGGAGGCAAGGAAGAGAATAAAATGATCTCTTAGGGGTCCCTTCGAGACACAGGACTCTACAAGTGTAAACCAAAGCCTTGATGATTTCCTACTTTCCACTCTGAGCCATGGGTGGCTGTACAAGAGCTTCACTTGAGTTGGACATAAAGAAAACCAGTCAGCAGCTGCACCGTTTCCTCTCAGCTAGCTTATGAATGGATAGTTCAGGATGAATATTTTTTTGTTTTGTTTCGTTTTGTTTTTGCGGTACGCGGGCCTCTCACCGTTGTGGCCTCTTCCGTCGTGGAGCACAGGCTCCGGACACGCAGGCCCAGCGGCCATGGCTCACGGGCCCAGCCGCTCCACGGCATGTGGGATCCTTCCAGACCGGGGCACAAACCCGTGTCCCCTGCATCGGCAGGCGGACTCTCAACCACTGTGCCACCGGGGAAATGAATATTTTGTAGGAGAGGATATTTTGGAAAATTTAAGCGTTCTTAATAGAGAAAAGTCTTTGTGAGTTCCAAATAGGAAGTCCAAACATACAAAAAAGCAGAGAAACCACAGGCTGGCCTGTGATGCTCAGTGGAAAGTAGATGATGTGAAAGCCACAGGCCATGGTGGGGCCTCTCTCCTGCTGGTGCCCAAAGGAACCTGGAGTCCCCGAGGCTGGAGACCTTTGGAGGCCACCTGCCTGGGGCTCCTGGGCTGCCACATTCTGTGGCTTGCTCCTTTTCAGGATGCCACAGAATACCCAGGTTTTGGAGGTTTGGTTTGTTGAGCCGGTAGACTTCTCGCAGGAGAAAACAAGGCAGTTTTTGAATACCACTCAAGTACATCTGGCAGACAAAACTAAGTGTCCTTGGCTGAATTTGATGGAGTGGACTTGCCAAAGTGTTCCCAAGCCAGACTTTTCCCAAGGGCAGCCCTAAAGCCAGGGAGGCTGTCCCCGAGGCAAGATATTTTCTTCCAGAGTTGCTTGCTTTTGTGTTTTTGCAAATAGTGATTCAGATTTTCTGCATGTGTTATATATAGTCTTTCCCATTACTGACCTATTTAGACCTCAGTATTATTTCATTATTTTTCTATCAGTCACCAGCTTGAGATAAGCCACATTTTAGTTGCACCAGAGCTCTGCCTTCACTGTTGCTACAGCTTATTTCCTGAGTTCTTCTAACCAACAGCTGGCACAAATAAACGAGTGAGTAAATAAAGGAGTGAGTGGCAGGCGTGGGGCTACCCGTGGCTGGGTTCTGATGGGTTGGATTTCTGAATGTCAGTCGCTGAAGCACATCCTCAGGAGGACTGGCTGAGGTCACAAAGCTTGAGGTAAATTCACATTGCATGCATTTTGCTTTACATGGCCTGTTATAGTTTTTTGGTGGGTTTTTTTTGCCCTAAAATACATTTTTAAAAAATGTCAGACCCTACAGATGAAATTCACTTCCAGCATTGTCTTCCCCTGAAAATACAGTGGGAAATCTATGACATGTTTGGAACATATAATTTACACCAACTGTAGTCATGTGTAG